AAAAAGGCAAGGGACTTGAAGTCCCTTGGTCCCACTAAATTTGTTCTGTCCATCTTTCGATGAAATCATAGAATTAAAATATATTATTCTTATTATTCTGTCATATGACTGCCCTCTTAATTATCTATTATGTCGTCTAAATTCATAAATTTAACCACATAAATAGAAATAAAATACAAAAAAATACTTAAACAATTCACGAGTTGTCAAATTTAAAGACAGCCACCAAAACAGAAAAATGAGACAACAGATATGGAGCAATCCCCGGTTTTATCAATCCTACTTATCCAAATCATGTTTGTTTATTGCAAAAATCTCTTTATGGTCACCGCGTGCTTAGTTTGATAGACTTTCTCAATATTTACTTAATTTAGGATTTTATTGTAGTAGTGTTGATCCCTCTTTATTTATTTGTAAACAAAATAATTGAACTATTCTTTTGCTAGTTTATGTGGATGATGTAATCATAACAGGTAGTTGCTCTAAAATCATTCAAGAAGTTATCTTAAAGCTCAGTAATGAATTTGCTTTGAAGGATGTTGGAACCTTACACTATTTTCTTGGTATTGAAGTTAAACCCATTTCAGGTGGAAAGTTTCTTTCACAACAAAAGTACACCAAGGATCTTCTCAATCGAACACATATGCTTGAAGCCTCTCATTTGTCCACCCCACTTGCTATCAAACCAACACGCCGCAGAATACCGAAGTATTGTTGGGGCTTTACAATACCTTCCGTTCACAAGACGGGTATTGCACCTGCTGTAAACCGAGCTTGTCAACATTTTCAAAATCCGACAATGGCCAACATTCGAGCAGTCAAACGCATACTCCGTTATCTCAAAGGAACAGTTGATCATGGTATAAGAATAATAGCACAAAGCTCACTAACTCCTAATGGTTTCTGTCCCTTTACACGAAGAAGCACAACAGGATATTGTATCTTTCTCGGTTCAAATTGTGTGTCTTGGTCGTCAAAGAAGCAACCAACAGTCGCAAGATCAAGTGGGGAAGCAGAATATTGTGCACTAGCTACCACTGCTGCAGAACTAACGTGGATAACATATCTATTACGTGACATTGGAATTTTTCTTCCGAAACCTCCACAAATCTTTAGCGACAATATGAGTGCTCTTTATATGACAATAAATCCCGTGTTTCATGCTCGGACAAAACACATCGAATTGGACTATCATTTTGTTCGCGGAAAAGTTGCCAATGGAAGTCTCATGACCAGATTCATGCCCTCTCGCTTTCAGATCGCTGACGTTCTTACAAAACCTTTATCAAAGAAAGCATTTCGAGGAAGGGTGACAACGGACATCATAAATCATTGCTTGAATTGAGGAAGGGAGATCACAATGATTAGCAATCTTATTGTTATCTTCCCTAAAACAGAGCAATATGATTAATGAATAGGAACGTTGGAGGCTCAAGTCAACTACAACGGCTATATTGCAGACCATATGCAATTCTTTCCCATATTTGTTTTAAAATCTTGTTTGATATTTTTCCTTTCATAATTATAAGGCTGTAATCAAGCACTTAATTAGAAATAGTTTTACCGTTGTATTTTTTTTCCGCCCCCTTGTTTTTCTCTATAAATATGTACTCAATATGAGCAGCTAGCTTATCAAGAGTGAATTGATTATTTCTTTTTCAGCAAACAATTCATTGCTTGTCCTCTTTTTTCATTTCTCGCTTTCTTCCTCTTGAACAACTTCAAGAATTCTTATTCTCGTTGTCTTTTCTTTTTTTCTTTTTTAATATTATTTTCTTTTGTATATTCTTATCCTTGTTTTCTTTCTTTTAATTTAGTATGTGGGTAATATGGTACATTAAGAAGAAATATTAGTCTTTTCCTTATGTTTTTTTTTTAATCTAATATTGAACAAAAAATGTAAAAGAATCATGTTTCCTTCCTAGTTTCTAATGTACCAAACAATTTTAAGTACACGTAATCTTTCCACTTGCTCATATTTTATCAATCCGTACAGTATTATTTCCCTTTAATGAAATACACTTTTTTTCATCAGTGAAGATTCCAATTTCACTATTCTTGTAAATGTTTCCTACATTTCTCCCCTACAATTAACGTGCAAAACATTTTTTTTTTTTAACTTTCCTTTCCTTTGCTCTTTTTTTTTTTTTTTTTTTTTAACTTTCCTTTCCTTTGCTTTTTTTTTTTCCCTTTTCTTTTTCCATATTTGTCCCTTTTTGCTTAACTACTATTTTTTTTTGTACTCTCCCTTCTTTGATATGGGAAAAAAAGGGTAAATTTTTAGGCTCGGCGATGCCAACTTCTCTTCCTCACTAGGACTGTGCATAGGACAAGTCAACACTCGTACTGCTACTCAAGAGTATCAATCATTTTGCGAACGAAGATATAAACAAGGTTGGTCCAATGGCCGTTAAGAACATTAATGCCTGTTCACGTTAATTTGAGTTTAGAATTTAAATTGATATGTAATTTTATGTGAGAATTTTTTATTATAGTAAAAAAGTTAGATGTGATTGTTTGTGAGAGCTTTTTACTATAGAAAAACTCAAATTCTAAACTCGAATCAACGAAGTGAACGGAGCTTAAGAGTTTGTTCTTTTGAGTGAAAAACTTAAGCCTCATTCATTTCACCGATTCGAGTTTTCAGTTTTAGGTTTCTACAGTAAAAAGCTCTCATAAAATGTTACATCAACTTTTTCTGCTACAGTAAAAAGCTCTCAGAAAATGTCACATCTCAGCTCGAATTAAAAACTCAAATCCGCGAAGTGAACGAGGCCAAAAAAATGTAACTCAAGTTATAATTTTATTTAAGTTTATGTTCTTTTAAGTTTAAATTTTAGTTTAAACTCGAGTTCAAACTTGAGTTTGGGACTAAAACTCGAGTTCAAGTTTCCCCTTCAACTCGAATTTAGAAACTCGAACTTAAATTAATGAACAATATTTTGGAGTTTAACTTGAGTATAATTCTTGAGTTGAATTTGAGTTATAACTTGAGTTGAACTTGTAACTTGAGTTTGTGTTTGGTTGTGTACATTTGAGTTATGGTTTGAGATAAGAATCTTTTTGAGTTTGTGTTTGAGTGAGTCAAAACTTGAATTTGTATTTAGATAGTATTTTAATAAAAACTCAATGCTGATGAAAAATTTTAATAGGGTATATGAGTCGGGTTTTATTCGTCTTTTCGTTGTCAACGCATAGAAAAAAAATCATCTCAATCAGAATTAAAACGAAAAAGTTATAACATTTTTAAGAATAGAGAAAATATTATTCATTAATTTGAGTTCGAGTTTCTGAACTCAAGTTGAAGGAGAAACTTGAACTCGAGTTTTAGTCCTAAATTCAAGTTTGAACTCGAGTTTAAACTCAAGTTTAAACTTAAAAGAACATGAATTTAAATAAAGTTATAACTCAAGTTGTATTTTTATGAGTTTTTTACTCAAAAGAACAAGCCCTTAGTGACGACTGAAAAAAGTAACCCATGTCCGCTTCTTGAAAAAATGTTATAATATGATGAATATTGAATAATATGAGTGATAATAGACCAACTGGAGGTTTGTTTGGAGCTACCAAATCATTATTATTTTCCATAGTAGTTCTAGTGGTCTCCATACCGTCACCATTCCAAAATGACAATCAATACATTTTACCGTCGTCGTCATTTGGAACTCTTGATTTGATGCCATTGCAGACGTATCAAAATTGATGATTTTTCCTTTAAAAAAAAAAAAAAACTCAAACCTAATGCGACACATTCGCATAAAATCATCAAATTAACTAGCATAGATGATTTTTTTTGGAAGATCATTATGGGAACCAACTAATTAGCAATTCTCTAAGCACGGAATGTAATGAGTCTCAAAGTTGAAAAACTCTACCCTCCATAATGTGTATTACTATAACCATAAATTTGACGATGAATATTTAGTAAAAGCATCAATTAATAGGTCTATCTTGGATTACCTAGATCATGATTTGGACTTATCTTGAACCGTTCTTCCTTGATGATTCTCCCATTGAGCCCATTGAAACACCAACATATTTGGATTTGAGAAGCAAAAATTCAAAGTAAGAGGGCTTTTTAGAGAAAGTGATGTAGAAGCTTCAAGTGGCCAGGAAAGTATAGATTTTAATGATAGTAAAAGAAGATTGAACAAGAAATTTGATAAAAATTAAAGACAAAAATGATTGGGTGAGATTTTGAGTGTACTTTTCAGTTTCCCTAGGGTTAGAGTTCGTGAAAAAATAGAGATCTATAAATTTTTTCATACAAACTCAATTTAGATCGCGTTTGTTACCTAAATCTGCATCAATTAATTAATGGGACAGCTAAGTCCGATTAGTCAGACGGACTAGACAAAAATATTAAAATTGGAACTTAGAAGATATATTGATGCAATTAACTGAAACTATTATAAAGAAACGTAATTCTACTATTTTAATTTTTCCACCTTTTCATCCACATTTCACTTTCTTTTTTAATATTTATGTTAGCCAAATCCCAGGAACAGCATGAAAATTCTATGAATATAGTTGTTCCTCACTCCACTTGTCATCCCTGTTTATAAAATTTCAAACCCCCGGGTAAGAAAGAATACACCAGGTCTAAGCTGTGGTTTTAGCATATGCAATTTACCTCGGTAAAACACGTTAGTTTACCTTGACCGGTAGCCCGTAAGAACAGTCAACTTTCAGCCAGAACTAGAAAAAGTTGTTTGCCTGCGGTTTATTTGCGAATAACTCATTTTCATTTTTTTTTCTTTTTTTTAGAGGGTTTTTAGCCTAATTGTCCCTCAAAATTGTCATGATTTAGCATAGAAATAGTATGAAATATGCCGATATGAAAAGCTTAAGAAAATATATAGGCTAATTTTTAATTATAGAAATTAATAGGTCATAACTTGTCAATTATGGTTCATAACCAGATAAGTTATGGACGAAAATAGTAATTTGTCCTATTTATTAACTTATGTAAACTATTAGCCTATTAATTTTAATTCATCTCAAGTCTTGGCCTATTTCCCTCTTTACCCATCAAACTTTTAGGCTCCGTTCATTTCACCGATTCGAGTTTTGCTACAGTAAGAAGCTCTCAAAAATAGTCACATCTAACTTTTTTGTTACAGTAAAAAACTATCACATAAAGTCACATCTTAACTTAAATTAAAAACTCGAATCAACAAACTAAACGGACCCTTAATTTTGACAATCAACTCCCCAAACTAATAAAATTATTATAGTATGCCCCATTTTTCTAAATTTGTTCAAATTTTTTATTAGATTTAAGGAATAAAAAAATGAGAAATTAAAATATTTGTGTTACATTTAAATTGGAATGTTAAAATTTTTCATCGAACGTATTTTATTTTTTGACACTAATTTAACACAATTATCGTTAAATTAAGGTATATTGCAAAAATTTTACAAATTGAGAAGACAATTTACCAAAATTAAAAATTCAAAGGGCAAAATACTAAAACCATACAAGTGCAGGAACAAATGCGTAAAATAACCTTTTTTTAAATCTTATCTTATTTTATAAAAGTTGTGCGTCTTTGGTTTTTCACCAAACGAAAATGTGACCAGTTGGCGCAGATACTAGAGCCAGTATATATGCACTCTTCATACACTACAAAATGGAGCAGCCATAAATGTTCTTCACTAGTCATCAAATTTTTAAAAATTACCTCCACTCAAATCTGGCAAAAAGTTTACATTTCCGTTTCACATGTTGTCTGTTGGTCAATGAAGCAGACCAACAAACGCAAAAGACAGACAGAAAATCATCAGAAATGAGAAGTATGGTGTGACAATGTACAGTGTACATGTTGCAGCGAGAAAAGGAAACCTTCGCTAGGAGTTTCTTATACGAGAGAGTTAGCAGAGTGTGAAAAAAGCTAATCTTTCTAAACGGTCTCACTAATCAACAGAAGTTGAACTTGGAGAAGACGGGATTCGGCCTTCTTTGTTATCCTTATCAGAAGTCGGAGACCCTTGTCCACTCCGGCGTGCAGCCAATTCTGTAACCTCTGCATGAGCTGGAGGCGAAATTGTGCCCTCCTCAATAGGAAGTGTTCTCTTTGATCCCTCCAATGCAACACCAAGCACTATATTCTCTTCCAGCACAGGCTTCGACATCGGCTGCTTGGGAACTGCTGTTCTTTCAGTTTCTAATTTCACCTGAGCAGCAGTTGAAAACCCCGCATGTTTCTCGGCACCAATTTCTGATGTTGACGATGTAGAATTGTTAGTGTTCTTCTGATTCCCTAAACTGGCATTCTTAGGCTGCTTGCTAGTTGGACTCTTTTTAGTTGAAGTATCCAATAATGAGACCCTTGCTCCATTGTCAGATACAGAATCAGCTTCCGTGACTTTAGATTCTGTCTTGGTGGCAGATTTAGCCACTACCTTGTCACTAATTTTGGGATCAGCGGTAGAAACTGCCACAGTTTTGGCATCAGAATTTGTTGTTCCTCCAGTCTTGGCATCTCCTTTGTTGTCAGATGGTGGTGTTTCTTTTGTCTTGGAGTCCAACGCGGGCGGTACTCCAACCTTGGCATCTATCTTGTTATCAGATGATGGCCGTGCTGTAGTCTTTCCATCTCGTTCTCCATTTGGGCGTGCACTACGGTTTTTTGTTTTATCTTCTCCATTAATTTTGTACAGCGGCTCAATCAGCAACAACGGGCGATTAGAAACTCCACCACGACTGTATATCGAATCTGCAAACGGCACATTCTCTAAGTCGGCATCACTATATATTTTCTGAACCGTACGAATTGGGGTGGCAAGTCTGGCCCGGTGATGGCTGATGACTCTAAGAAGATCCAACAGTATAGCTTCCTGTTCAGGTAGTACACTCAAAGTGAGCTAAATAGTAATTATCAGGAGGGTCATCGAGCCCATCGTTTACACTCTATTTCTTAGCTACCATTCTAAAAATTAAAATATAAAGAACAGAAACGAAATTTTGAATAACCACTTGACAAATTAATGCACCATTATTTCAGACGAATTCTCTGCTTAAATGAGATGGCTTTAAATTCACTATGTCGTCATAACTTTATACTTCAACCGTGTCTCCAATTACCCAAAAGAAATGAAAAATATACACCCATCACGATGCCCTTTTTAACATTTTTTTCCCCCTTTATAGTAACTAGCTTTTGTCAACAAACTCCAAAGAGGGTTCCGAAACATTCAATTCTGGATGGAGCTGGCTCAAACTTCTGAATCTCATTTTGGGTCTATTTGCTTAAAATAACATTCCTGATAGAGCAAACCCCTTCTTAAATATATCTATTTATATCACAAATCCAAATCAATACGACATTTTCAAGTGTCATCTAAATTTCTGTAATGGAAATTAATTCAAAAACAAAAGACAGCTCAACCAAGCCTCAATTCTTAGTATTTTCCTTAGCAACATTGAAGGTATACCAAATTTTCTGGAATAAAATGACCTTACCTTGACACATAGATACTCTTCAAAATGTGAGGTCTTCACAAAGCAGGAGACTAAGACCTGTAATGTATAGAGACGAGGATCAAATACTATATACATACTGTTAAAGTATAAAACTATTGTTGGCCCACCTCCTAACAGCTTAAGCTTTTGGGATGGATTGGTAAACTAACATGGTATCAGAGCGGGAGGTCTGTGTTCAAACCCCCGTAATTGCACTCTTTATCCCCATTTAAATTGTCATCATGTATTGAGTTTTTAATATATCTCGGGCTTAAATATTCACGTGTTGGGCTTTTCAATTAATTTACCCACACGATTGCCCATTGTGCAGCCCACACGTGAGGGGGAGTGTTAAAGTATAAAATTATTGTTGGCCTACTTCCTAATAGCTTAAGCTTTTGGGATGAATTGGTAAACTAATACATACAAACACACACATACGTGTATTTGATCAACAGACATATTGTTGTTGTGTGTGTGTGTGTGTGTGTGTGGACAAAGGCATTTTTTGATAGCCTTGCATCAGCTTGTTTGTCCACAAATGAAACCAGAAACCAAAATAATAGACGAGGAGAAATAAAACTTATTTTCCTCTGAACGCCAACGTGCGTCAATAACATTACAGGATGCAGCGAATTGTCAGTTTCCAAGAATGCTGGTACTAACCAGAAGAGCCTGATTTTCAGGATTAATATTCTCTAGAAACACTCTTCTATGCAATCTCTGCTGCTCAACTTGAGGATTCTTTGCCAAGACTTTGCGCATGTCGGCAACAATATTCTGCACATAGAAAAGAGAATTAAACCATGAACACTAAATAAATAAATATCAAAACCAATATCCCGTGGAAGACATGTAGCAGCAGAAATGCAAATCTTGAAGGTATACGTATCTAATTAACTCTCACATTTATCTTATGGACGTCCAAGTGACTAATAGCAAGGTGTGTTTTGATACGCCAGTGAGTCTTTTGACTGAGATTCCTGACAACATTCACTGTAAATTTGTGGTTTGGAATATGAACTGCTTCACGATCTTCACCTCTAACAATTGTTGGTGACCACCATCCCACATGCTACAGTTGACAAATATGTGAAAATAACTAGTCAAAATTTTAAATATTATATGCATCAAGTTCTTCAGGGTTTAGTTTTTATAGATACAAACCTCAACAGTGCCAGAAACTTCATATCCTTCAATCTTTGTTTGAATCCATTCGTTGACAACAAAAGGCCGAGTTGCATGAATCATGGCACTTGAAAGGAAATTTGTAAATATCTAGTGACAACGAAAACAAAAATAAACATTAGAATTTGGGCAACAGGTAGATGAAACTGGTTTATGAGAACAGCATTATAGTTGCACCTCACGACCGGCAAGAGTCAACAATACTGTCCCAAGACCTCCTGCAGTAACCCATTTCTGGGTGGAGAAACCCAGCAATTCCATAAATAATGAAAATGCAGCAATCCAGACAGCAGAGTATACAGCTTTTCCAGCAAATTGGAATCCCATCTGCCAGGATGAAAGAAAGTTCTAGTCAAAAAGACAAATTATTTGAATATAAAACACAATACTGAATTCCTACAGTTGAGTAAAGAGTGAGACAGAGATGACCTGACACCTTTATGATAAATACGATGAAAATGAAAAAAACGATGATATGTAAGATGACATTGAAATTAATCAGCGTTTAAATTTACCAAGAAGAGCAATTATGAAAGCATATTAAAAGCCGTTGAAGATTGTGGAAATTCATGATTTAATGTTTGATTTCTAGGAATTAGCTGTAACCCGATTCCTAGGAATTAGTTATAATTAGATTTATTTGTTACCTAGAATAAGAGGGATATTGGCTTTATTCACCGATTCCCTGTTTTGTATTTTTTCCTTTTTTGGTTGCTTGTTTTCAGGAGAAGAATCCTTCCTCCTTTATTATTTAAGGTTGTACAATTAGTCAAAATTATCAATGAGAATTATCAAATTCCTTTCTCAAAAACTCACATGGTATGAGAGCCTTAGGCTCATACTCTCTGGGAATTCCTTCGAACCAAACTGCCATTATCCAGCCTTGTTCCCTCGGCAAGACTGACTGCCATTCACAGGCCCATTCTCACAGCAGGGTTCTCTCTTTTCTTCCCATATTCTCCCAGTCTTATTAGGAGACTATTCTTTCCTCAATCCGCTCTGCCCGAGTACTTCTCAATCATCTCTGAGACAGTGTTTAAAACTATCACTTCAATGACCAAATACGGAATGGCCATGAAGAAACAAACCCCATCCTCATCAGAAGTTACTTCTAGTTCCGAAGTCCCCATCACCAGCAACCATGGCGGAGTCGACAATGTTCCACTTCCCATAACAGGACAAACTAAATGGGAGCAATTACCTCCAGTGGTCTCAGTCAGTCATGATGTACATCTGCGGAAAGGGAAAGGATGAGTATCTCACCGGTGAAGTCACTCCTCCGAAGGCTGAAGATCCAAAATTTAAACTCTGGAAGACTAAAAATAATATGGTGATGTCTTGGTTGGTTAATTCTATGACAAACGAGATAGGTGAAAATTTCTTGCTCTATAAATTGGCTCATGAAATCTAGAATACAGCGAAGGTGCTTTATTCTAAGAAAGAAAATACCTCGAAAATTTTTTAGATTGAAGCCGCTCTCCAGGATCTCAAACAAGGAGATTTATCTGTCACTCAATACTACAACATCCTCACTCGACACTGGCAGCAACTGGATGCTTTCGAAGAACATTGTTGAAATCTTACCTTAGTTAGTTCGGATTTCCAGGGCTGCATCATTCTATATTAGGATAGTTGAATATTTGTATTAAGTTACCTAATTTCCTGTTTATTCTCTTTCCTTATTTAGGTTAGATTGTTTCCCTTATTTTTGTTTACCTTTTATTCTATTCACACGGTTTGCATACTACAACCATGTCCTATATATATGTGGCTGTAATTTGCATTCATTCAATAAGAGAAAATCAAAGAGCATACTCTCTCTCAGTAATTTTCATGGTATCATAGCCTACCTCTGAAAAAACCCTAATCCCTTCTTCATGACCAAATATGGCATGGCTACTGAGAGACAAAGCTCTACATCTGAAGTAACCTCCACTCCAGAAACTGCTGCACCAGCTTCGAGCAGCAATGGAGGTCCGGACACTCATTCTCTTCTCATCACCGGCCACAAACTCAATGGCCAGAACTATCTCCAATGGTCCCAGTCGGTTATGATGTTTATCTGTGGGAGAGGCAAAGACGAATATCTCACTGGAGAAGTCACTATTCCAGAAAAGAATGATCCCAAATACAGGCAATGGAAAACCGAGAACCATATGGTAATGTCATGGTTGGTTAACTCTATGAACAATGAGATAGGAGAGAGTTTTCTCTTGCGGAACCGCACAAGAAATCTGGAATGCTGTTAGGGAGACATATTCAAGTTCTGAGAATACTTCAGAACTCTTTGAAATCGAGGCCAAGTTACACAATCTTTGCCAAGGAGACCTCACGGTTACTCAGTATTTTAATACTCTCACTCATTATTGGCAACATCTTGATGTATTTGAAGTCCACACATGGAAGTGCCCTGATGACACAGCCCTCTACCGGAAAATTGTGGAGCAGAAACGGACATTCAAGTTCCTTCTCAGCCTCAACAAAAATTTAGATGAAGTTAGAGGAAGAGTAATGGGGACCAAACCTTTTCCTAGCATTCGTAAAGCCTTCTCAGAAGTTCGATGTGAAGAAAGCAGAAAAAAGGTAATGATGGGTCCTCAGGAATCTACTCCTACACTTGAAGGATCTGCCCTTGCTGCACGAGGACCACCAACAAACAACACTTTTGACAACTGGCAGAGGAGAGGAAGACCATGGTGTGACCACTGCCGCAAACCAAGACATCTCAGAGAAAATTGCTAGAAAATTCATGGCAAACCCGCTGATTAGAAGCACTCTCGATCAACAAATGACAAGGAAATCGTGCCTATGTTGCTGCCTCCAAAGAGGATAGTCCAGCCACAATTGAGACAAGTCCTTTCACCAAAGAACAACTCGAAGTCCTACAAAAACTTTTCAGCCAAAACAATCAGCCTCAGACAAGTACTTCGGCACCAGGAACCAGTATGTTAGCACAAAAAGGTAATCTTCCAATGGCTTTTATAGCTAATAGAGGGCACTTGACACCATGGATTATTGACTCTAGAGCGTCAGATCACATGACGGGAGATGCAACTATATTTCACCAATACAGGCCATCCAGTGAGAACTTTACCATCCGAATTACTGATGGTTCCTTATCCAAAGTTGAGGGAATTGGCTCGGTCCAGATTACTAAGGATTTGATTCTAAACTCTGTCCTCCATGTTCCTAGTTTGGATTGTAATTTACTCTCAATTAGTAAATTGACAAGTGATCTGAATTATGTAACTAAATTTTTTCCAAACTTGTGTGAATTTCAAGAATTGGATTCAGGGAGGAAGATTGGCAGTGCTGAGATGTGTTCTGGGCTCTATCTACTCAACACTCCTCTAAGAAGACAAGCTCAAAATGCAAGTGGTGTGTCCTTTAAGAGTCAGTCAGTTTTAAATTCTTATGTCAATAAAGATAGTGAAATTATGTTATGGCACTATCGCCTTGGTCATCCAAATTTTAAGTATCTGAAAAAACTGTTTCCTTCTTTGTTTATCACTAAAAGTTCAATGTCTTTTTGTTGTGAAATTTGTCAACTTGCCAAACATACTCGTAGTAACTGTCCTAGTCATTCATATAAGCCATCTCAACCATTTGCCTTGATCCATAGTGATGTCTGGGGCCCCTCAAGAGTGTAAAACATAACAGGAACTCGATGGTTCATATCTTTTGTTGATGATCACACTGGATTGACCTGGATATTTCTTATGAAAGAAAAATCTGAAGTTGGCCAAATATTTCAAAATTTCAATTCCACGATACAAACCCAATTCCAAACCAAGATTCGAGTTTTAAAAACTGACAATGCCAAAGAATACTTCACAACTATCCTTGGTGATTACCTCTTAAGTCAAGGCATAGTCCATGTAAGTTCCTGTATTGATACCCCCCAACAAAACGGGGTTGCAGAAAGAAAAAACAGACATTTACTTGAGGTAGCTCAATCTCTCATGTTCTCTACTAATGTTTCAAAGTATTTTTGGGGAGAAGCTGTCCTTACATCTGCCTACCTGATCAATAGAATGCCATCCCGAGTTCTCAAATTCCAAACTCCTTATCGAGTCTTTCTCCAAAACTACCCACCTACCAAACTTGTTTCTGCCTTAGATCCAAGGGTATTCGGGTGTTCAGCCTTTGTTCATATCCATCAGCAAAATCGTAGCAAATTAGACCCTAAATCCATTAAGTGCACTTTTCTCGGCTACTCCTCAAACCAAAAAGGGTACAAGTGTTATTCTCCTATTACCTAGAAATTTTACAACTCAATGGACGTAACCTTCTTTGAACATCAACCCTACTACCCCAAATCTGAAATTCAGGGGGAGAACATGAGGGAATATCAACTTTGGAATGTTCCAACCAATATTGAGTCAAATTCTAGTTATTCACCACAGTCAAATGAAATAATTCTTGAGACTATGGATCATATACAACCTGATAGTGAATCCGAGAGTCAACCACCACCTCCAAATCTAGTTTCTAATCCAGCCTCTTCTGTCCACAATCACTCCAAATCACCACAAACTGCAAGTAAAGAGCTTTGTGTATGCTAGAAGGGAAAGGTCCGAAAGGGAGATAGAGCACTCAACTCCTCTCGCACATGTTCAAGAACCTATACCGAGTCCAAAACCTATTCAAATTCACTCAGGTAAGGAAACTCCCACTCTTGAGATTGAGAATGAAGTAATTACCACTAATGATTGTGATATGCCGATTGCTCTAAGAAAGGGTGTTAGAACATGCACACAACATCCCATATACAACTTTGTCTCCTATGGAAAATTATCTCCATCCTATCAGGCATTTGTTTCGGCTCTTGATAGTGTACAGGTACCTAATTCTATTCAAGAAGCTCTCAAGAACCCAGAGTAGAGGAAGGCAGTTGGTGAACAAGTTAAAGCCTTGGAGAAAAACGGCACATGGGTAATCTCAAATCTCCCTCCTGGCAAGAAACCAGTTGGCTGTAAATGGATTTTTACTGTCAAATATAAGGCTGATGGTAGTATCGAAAGACTAAAAGCCCGCCTGGTTGCTAGGGGCTTCACTTAGTCCTATGGAATAGACTACCACGAAACATTTGCTCTAGTTGCCAAACTCAATACAATTCGGGTTCTTTCCCTTGCAGCAAACCGAGATTGGCCATTACACCAACTAGATGTAAAAAATGCATTTTTAAATGGTGATCTGGAAGAAGAAGTGTATGTGAAAATACCACCGGGACTGGAAAATTCCCTCAATAGCAACAAAGTGTGCAAGCTTAGAAAATCTCTATACGGACTCAAGCAATGCCCCTCGTGCATGGTTTGACAGGTTTG